TTTTTTTTAATAATGATTTTCAGGCAGATTTGACCCAGTGGAGTTTTTGTCAGTCATGAGATCTCGGAAGGATGGCATATCTTTCCAGCTGAAAAAATCCTGGCAAACTACAAGCTGTCCACATAAAGCAAAGCAACTTTTTGAAGGGGTATGGAGTGCTAACTCTGTGCCACTTTTGCAAGCAATTTTGTTCAGCCTGTCATTTTTATTAGCCTTAACAAAACTCCTTGTAATTATAGACATTTTTATTCAAAATAAGATCTTACTATTATACAGGTTTCTCTCTTTTTTGACTATATACAGAAGTGCAAAAAGTCAACCTTCTTCTATACGTTCCCACATGCTAAACTGCAGCATAATCAACCCTCAAGAGTTTGCACACGCGCTATAATTCTTGTTACGTAAACTTTGAGTATTTGGATTATCAAAACAAAAAGTCCCTTGATCTATTGATTATGCAGCTTATTTATAACAAGGCCTGATATTCAGGGATTTCAAAAAATATTTAAACAATATTTTAACATTTGAAATGGATACAGTAGAAAATAAATTTTATTCTAATATCTAGGAACTAGATTTTCTTATAATAACTAATTACAAACAAAATAAATCATCAAAATATTACTCAATTGTCTGCCAGGATTGTTGCGATAGCAACAACTTAACTTCTTACTTAGCAATGATTATATAATTATAAGATATCCATATAAAAGATCTTTGTTCTTTTAATGAAAACTAGACAAGAACTAACAATGACTGACATTCTTACATTGTAATATTAAATCAGTAAAATATAAATCATTTAGTTAACAATACGAATACTCATATGACACTACATGTAAATTCAAAACTGAGTATGTTATGAAGAAAAAAAACCTACATTTTTATTTATTTTTTTTGTATTTTGAAAAAGTCATCAGTAAAATCTAATAAAACAAAATTCTATAAACTGAAACGGTATTCAACTGGTAATAGAAAATGAAAACAATCTAATAAATGTAAGAAATAAAAACTACATTTTTAACAAGAAAAATAAGTAATATTCTATAATGTAAGTAACTACAATAACATGTGAAGTCACCTATACTTTCTTAACACGATTGAAATTACATTGGTATGGGTTTTAACCCGTAATGTAATAATCTAAGGCTTTAATAGATGTACAGTACAATCAGTAAAATCAACACATCATTCTTATACTAGAAAGCATCTCTCTCAAGCATAAAAACTTGCAGTAAACTTGGAAGTATGGAAAGTTCTAGAACTGAACTCTCACTTCTTCCACTCCACACTATACTACCAGTGACCTGGCCCCCACTTCAGCAGTTTGCTGAACAGAGCAAAAATATCCTTTACTAGCTGCAACATCCAAACCACAAAAAGGAATTCCTTTGGATGAATCCATTCTTAAAAACTTGAATGCACATCTATTTTTTTATTTTATTTTGTAAAGGCTTTCTAAGGCTATAAGCAGTTAATCTGAACAAAAAAAAATCACATATAAAACTCACCCAAGTATTTAACCCAACCAATTTCTACACTAATTAACATCTCCATTTTTTTCATATTTTGGTTTGTCATGCGGCTGATGTCAGTGCTTCTTTCTTCTTGGTTTAGAGTCACTGTTTTGAAGCGTGACTTTGATGAAGCATTTAAGCAAAAGTGAAACCCATCTCTGCAAAGCATTTATAGTCTTTTGACTTTTGACAGAGGCTATAAATAGAAGCAAAATAAGTTCCTCAAACGTTTGTTATTGTGTCTCAGAAATGGCTTTTCCCTTTTGTATATCGTGTTATATGGTATAATATGCATAAATATTACATTACAATGTCTTAAAATAGTTTATATATGTGTATATGTCCAGTATGTGTTAAGTTAATTTGTATCGATAAAATACCTTTCTTGTGCTGTCTACTGTTATGTAAGGTAGAATTGGCCATTTCTGAGACAACTTTGGTTTTGAAACAGAATGGTGCCCTTTGACTGATCAGTACTAACAAAATAAGCAAAAATGTGGCTCTGAAAAATAACACTGCAGAAATAATACTCTAATTTGATGTACAGTCTATGGCACTTCATGAGAATCCTTTACAACATGGTACTTAAAGCCATTGATGTGCTTTAAAATATACACAGTTGTGGTTTTGCTTGGCACATTCATCTCTGTCAGATACCTCTCTTACCACTTCTTACAATCTATTACATTAAAAATATTACTCTTAAACAAAAATTACTGTGCATGCACGCTCTCATCTATAATGGCAATTTTAAATACAAGGTGCACCTTTGTTATTTGTAAACCTTGAAAGAAATAAACTTACTTTAAAAAAATTATATCTTGGTCTACAGACGTACCAATACATAATAGATTTATGGTTACATCATAGTCTGTCTTTTCAAGATGACTTACATGATTATGTAGGAAATAGACTACATATGCATATCTAAATATATATATGCATACTTCTGTGCTAGAAAAGATAGACAATGCTGTAGTTTTAGACAATAAGATCACCTCAGCACAAATATCAATTCAATGTACAAAGTATATAGGCAACAGTGTGCAGTGGATTTCCAAGTTCTTGTTTCTTCTTGTTAACATGCAATGTGTGGATGTCTTACTGCTGAGGGAGTTTCGGTGTGTTTCTTGACGGTATATACATTATGGCTAATGATCTTGTCCTTTCCTCTACCCAAGCACACTGTCCTTTTTCTCTTTAGTATGATCTAGAAAAGGAAAAAGAAAGGAAAGAAATTTAGCATGTTCATTTATTCCCTTTAAGTATCTTACGGGCACAGTCTTGCAGTTTCAGCACAAGGGGAAGCTGTCACCGACATTAAAAGGACTTCTGCACCAGCATAGCGATGAGGCTGGGCACCCCAACAGTTTTCCCAGTCACTCTGCCCTAGTTATGCCAATGGAGTTTTGTATACCAAATATAAACAGTACTATTTCCCAAATAATATCTTCATAACAAAGATATGTCTTATAGACATTATTGCGTAATGATGAAATTATTTACGAAAACAGAAATCCATCATGACTGAACCATATTCCCTGCCTTGCCCTCCCCACCCCTATAGCTAGTAAAGCCTCAGGATTAACAGAGTACTAATTAGTTATTGGGGTTTTACTTAGGACCATAGCTTGATACCACTGACATAAATGCAGCCAGTAACATTGAGTTTGGTGGCATCAAGAATTTGGGTAACATTTTAAAAACACCTGAAGTCCACATCCTCTTCAATGACAGCAATTGGTAAACACCAATTAATTTCATAAGACACGTGAAACATGCCTAAATACTTTTGGGATTTGGGCTGTACGGGTATGTCTGTTTAATGCTAGGTAGTGCTCAGCAGGGTACATCAGGTTAGGTCTGTGTGTACTAACTTCAGAACAAGAAACAGCAACAGGCCATGCTGCAACTTGGCAAATTAATTATGCTGAGAAGCAGAGTGCTTAAGTCCCTTCGAAAATGGAATTTGGACTGTAAAGTCATTTACATCCTTATGAAAATTATATCCCTGGCCACAAATGAGAAGAAAATTATTATTCCATTTTAACAAATAAATAACCACACTGTCGGGTTAAATAACGTATTTGGCTATGGTGAAATCATCTCTTTAAGAAAACAACAGAAATAGGAAAGCTGTAGATAATAAAAATGACATGCTAAATTGCAGGAGGCAATGGTCTGTGGGAGGAATAATTAATTATATATATGATTTAGAGAGAATGCAGTGAGGAAATTAATAAGGGGAGGGCATAATTGGAAATAGCTTTTATGCACTCTATAATTAACCTGGGTCTACCACACAGGAGACCTGGGTTCAATTCCCAGACACTTATACAACTGCAGCCATGGAGGCACCAAACATCTGGACTCAGGCTGGTCTTTGGATTCTGTCTTAGTGGCCTAAAGGGAGGATGGAAGGTCTGGGCAGACTCTACTCCTCCAAAAATTCCTGCCCAGGCATATGCATTGAAGGTCTGGGTGGCCCTCATGCACACACCATGATCCAGGAGGATCAACCGTTGCCAATTAACCTGGAGAATTCATTATAGGTTCATATTTAGCCAAATAGCATAGAGCGAGTTTTTAAAAAAAATATGACTGGACTATATATGCAGTGATAAACCCTGTTAAGATTTACAAGTAGTATCTGTTCTCTTACTTTGGGCTTAAACATCAACTAATGTCATGAATAAATTTCTTTCTTTGCTGAAGAAAGCTAATAATCAAGCAGATATCCAGAAACACGCATAGCTATGATTTATTTATATGTAGGGTATGACCATAAATGAAAGCAGTTGTGAGGACACAGTAAACACTACATTATATTCCACTTAAACCTGAAGAGTAGATGTATCTCTGTACTGGAGAAAGAGGTGGAAGTGAAGGCATATATTTCCTTCCAGAAGCTATTAAGTTATTCTATCATAGTTGGATGAGAAATTCTATAAGGCTAAACCAAAACAGAGAGCTCGTATGTCATAAGTGTAAACTAAGATTTCATGATTGAAAATGCAGGAAAAAAATCTCAGGAACAGAGACAAGCGAAACCAACTAAAAGCCTGTCTGCAAGGAAAGAGGCTAAATTATGAGAAGCTGACTGTAGTTCAAGCCCAAACTATGCAAGTGTAAATTGAACTTGCATTCTCCACATGACCTCTCACTTTTCTGTAACCTATATCGCAAAAATACCTCCCATAACTTACCATAATTTGGCAGTCTCTGCTCCAAGGAATCCAGGGCTCAGTTAGACTAATAATTAAATCCTCATTCTCATTTACAGAATTTTGCAAATTTTGTGATTAAACAGCTTTTTCACAAGAAAGCCTCAGTATAGCCAGGTGCCCTATTTATGGCCCACGGTATATATCAGAGGTAGGCAACCCCTGGCATGGGTACCAGAGTGTAGCACTTGAAGGCATTTTGCTTGGCACAAGTGCCTCGGGGCGGATGGTGGAGAAGGGGCCAGGGCTGCAGTGCCACAACAAGGACCAGGCCCCTTGTGGCTCCCACACCATCTGCCCCTGGCATGCCAACTTCTTACAAGTTGAGGTCATAGGTGTTTTTGGTACTCTGCCCAAAAATGTTGCTGACCCCTGGTACATACGAAGTAGTGGAGCCCCTAAAAGAATCATTTTGTTTTATAGATTCTGGATTTATTTATTTATTTGTAAAAGATTTCACTCTTTACTGGTATAATGTGATCCCCACCCTACCAAGTCTGGCAGGCTCCCAAGTTATTTTTCCCCAACTTATGCTGTCTTTTTAGGGCAGTGGAAGGCATCAAACAAATAAGCCCAAACTAATGGGATGGCAGGATTCTCCACCTGATTCAGCCTGTCAATGGATGCTTAAATTCTGCAGGGAGAAACAGTCTAATTACTGCTGACTCACTGGCATATATGGGGCTTACTGGGTTTCTCTTCCCTGCTCCTGCCAAAATGAGTGAGCAGATGTTGACCGGAAGCTAACAAAGCACGGCAATTAGAACATACCTGGCACCGTCTCAAAGTCAGACACTTCTAACGAGACAGGCTTGCATCTCAAAAAGGTCTTTTGTGTGCTTTAGATTATGAATGCCATTAATTTAAACTTAATCACTGCTGTATCTTTTATGTCCAGTAAGGGGATGATAATAGATACAAAGGAACTGAGTTTGCTACATCGCATGCCCCCTGACAACCGAAAAGAGCTCTGTATCCTCTGTAAGACCGCTGGCACACAGGAAGTCTGCAGGCACACTGGTTGCCCAAGGTCACCTATCCTTATACTGTGGACAAAGCCTCTGCCTCAGCATCAAACAGGCAAGCAGAATGGGCATGGCAGCAGGTGCAGAGTTTATGTCCTTGGGGATCTAGACCTCCTCACCCGTGCAAGAACCATGCAGGATTGTCTGTCAGTTTATAAATCACAGGCTACTAGACTCATATGTTTCTGGAAGGAGGGTAGTTAACCACTGGCCTCTTTGCCAGCAGTGCCAGCAAAAGTGCCCATCAGTACCAAATATATGGCAATACTGCCTCTGAGGTACTGGACTGAAACCACCAACTTGCATCACTGATATTTGTCCAGTTTCTGTAATCCGCTATTTAAAAAACAAAAAAACAATTCTACATAAACGCTATGGCCCCCATCACGCAGAAGTTAGTATCAAAGAAACCCATGTCAAAAGAGCTTCTACAACACTTTAAAAAAATTTCCTTTAAAAACAATATGTCTCAGTAAAAGACAAATTATGCCTACACACACAGAGTATGAAAACTGTGGAAGCAACACATCAGAAACTTACTGTTTGATGACAAAATGTCTACATCTGTGTAACATATTTGTGGCTAGTCAGATGTTCGGCAGATATTATGGGTATCTATAGGTAAAAAATGTAAACAATGAATAATATGTGCAACATGTCAACCAAGAGAAAACGCATTTTACTATCAAACATTACTGTAGTTCAGAAAAAGCAACAATCAGCTGTGAGGTGGTGGATTTTACATTGTAACTACAGTATACGTTACAGTAAACTGAAGTGCTACAAAAGCCAGTTAAAACTGAAAAAAACATTGTGGTAGGTAGTACTTGACTGATGTATATAAGTATTATTGGTTGTTTAGAAAGTAAGAGGAGTTAAAATCTACAGAAGTTCATGCAGTGCAGTCACTGAAAGGAGCCCTTTTTGTTGGCCTACACAAAGTTCAATGATTTGGGTATTTTACTAAGTCGTTTGAAACAAACACCACAGCCAGATTTTGAGGAGTGTTTGCTAAATTAGTCTTTAGGTGCCAAACCAAGATGCCTTGCATCTGTTTTTTCACAGGTGGTACAAATTCACAGATTACCTAGGCCGTGTATTCTTGCCACCTGTGAAAACTAGGAAGTAGGTTCTGAGTTGGGCACTGAAAAAACAAAGATTCTCCAAATTAGCAATCCATTTTCACAATGTTGGCCTTTGTAAACAGGACTCATCTACACAGCTCTCTGACCATTAGTCAACAGTGTGTTTTCCATAAGATTAGCTTTAAAAATTAAACTGGCAATATAACAATTACAAAGAGCACAAATAGCAAATCAAGACAAAAGTTAGACAGCTCTTTCCTGGAGTCCAATCCTGCAGGCCTTCCAAGGTTTAACATAAATTAAAGTCAATGGGAGTGCACATACACAGGCCTTGCAGGATAGAGACCTTAATGAGGGAAACAAGACTATTCAAAGTGAACTACAGATGTTAAACGAGCAGTATTAAACCCGCACCGCAACAAGAGGCAGGGAGTCAGACTGAGGCAGAGAACAGATGCACTTATGTACAGAAAACCAGGTCCAGCACTGTCATAATCCTGACTTAGATGTTGTAAAGAGCTGTGGAACTTGAAAAGATAATATCCCCTCTCAGTTTATCAGATACATAGTCCCACAGAAGAAAGGAAGGGTGGAGTTTTTTTCCTTAACTAATCACTAAGCAGAATGTTTTAGTGGTGGATCTTTCCAGCCCTTACATCCTTGCTTTACTTTTCATATAATTTTACAGCATTGCCAAATAGCCCAGAAATGTGCTCCAAGCATAATGAAGCTTTTCATACCATTTTTTCTACTGCTGCAGGAGAAGATGTTGCACCCAACTGTGTAGAAGCATCAGGGATAGTGCTGTCAAAACATACCAAGGACCTTCAACACCAGTCAATGAAGATGAAGGGCCAGATCTTAAGACCTTATGCATGCATGCACATTGCACGTGTGGCATTAAATCATTTCAGCATTGCTTAAAAATTATATACATATATTGCCATATATGTATATATTGAGGTTTGGCTGCAATACTTTACTGAAGTGTGTTATGAGGGATCCAGGGAGAACAGGCATGAAATGGTCAGATTCTACAACAGCAAGTTTCCCCATTATCTATCTGGGTGAATGCATAGCAGCTTAGACATAGAAAAGGCATTTAAGAAATCTATTTTTTTTCTGTGGCTTTAAGAAATCTATTTTTTTTTCTGTGGCTTTGTTTATTCTAGGAATTTTCTGGACGTATGCTGGGTACACAACTCAAATGACTTAAGGTTATTTGAATTGTGAATGAAATTACTCATACTGTTTAGATATTTCTGATGGTTATTTACTTAACTGACACGTACACATAGGTAATTGTTCTTGTAAATGAGGTTTCTGGGACTTTAATTCCTTTTCTGGTCCAAATTTTCAAAAGACTTAGTCCCTCAACTGCAATATTTTTCACTAGAACAAACTGTTACTTGCTCATAAATATTGGAAACTACACCCAACTGCTGTGGAAACTAAACAGTATTTGGTTAAAATGCCTAATCTTTTTCTGGGACTTTAAGGTAGATTGTTATAAATTACTGCAGTGATGCAATTCTCAGGCATGATGTTTTTGAGAACCTAGTTACTGTGTATACCACCAAAGGATTTATAGTTGGCTTGGCATCAAATATTAATGCACAAAATGCTCAAGGCTGATAGCAAGGCTCTGGGTCTAGCCCTGAAAGATACTAAATACATTCCACCCTATAGGTTGCACTGCAGTAGGCAGCACACAGCACCCTGATGGAAGAGCTTTGGTACTTCACAGGAATGGGCTCAGGATTTCTAAAAACAGCATCCAATTTTACAGGTGCAATTAACTGCAGCTGCAGAATCATAAGAACAGTTGCTTGCAGGTGTATTTTTACTTATGCATCTGGATCTGATTGCACCTGCAGACTTGTTTGGCTTTTATGGTAGGATTTTGAAACCTCCAAGTTGGCATAATGACTGGAGCAGACTTGCATCAAAAGCAGGTACTTTTTAAAGCCAGTCCTTCTATACGGTCATTTAATGACCCCGGCAATCAACTGAAATTGCAAAATAGCACACAGAATTTTGTGGCTGAACAAAAGTCCCTTTTGCTCTAAATGCTAAAGGAATATATAGGACTCCCACTGAATTCATGTAGAGCCCTAGCTGCCCAGCATTTGGTCCCACATTTTCTGCACAGTGGGTGTGTCCACATGAGATGCTTTGCTGCTCATTAATCTAATGCACAGTAAAGTGTCACTGTCTACGTGTGTGCAGTAAAGTAAGCTAATGCACCATTTGCTAGTTCCAGGAAATATAGGTACTAGATTAATGGCACATTAGCTTCTGCACAGTAGCACATGTGTAGACACTGGCCAGGAGCAATTTGCTCCTAGTCAGCTCAGGCAGCAGGGGCACACTGCTACCTGCCTAAGGCCCCATGCAGTGGGGAGCTGTGCTGGCTACAGGGGCAGCTGTCTCCCTGCCATGTGGGGATCGGAACCCAGGAGAGCTGTCCCACACAGATGGCGATCGCCAGTTGGGATTGCTGTGCGATCCAATCCCCATGTGGCTGGGTTGACCTAATCTCCACATGGCTGGGATGCAGCAGTCCCAGCTGCTAGGACAGCTCTCCTAGCCACGTGGAGGCCAGGTCCTGCAGCAATCCTGGCTGCTGATCTCCATGTGGCTGGGATACAGCAGTCTTAGCTGCCAGGACATCTCTTCTGGCCATGTGGGAATTGGGACCAGCCCCTGCACCCCCTGCCACCCATAGCTTGGCACCTGGGGTAGCCTGGGGCTCCTCCTGGTTGCTGAAGTGGGGCAGAGCAGGGCAGGAGCGGTACTGGAGTTAACTGCTTCCATTTGGAGCAAATGTGCTTCTAACGGGCACACTTTAACATATGTGCAAGGGTGTAGTTTAATGTGCCTGAATTTTCTGCAAAGAAAATTAAGGGACATTAATTGCACATGTAGATGCACCCAGTAATAACAGGCAATAATTCTAAAGGCCTAGTACAAACATGTAAAATTCATGTCAGGATACATATGAATAAAGGAGTTGTGCACTGGTCTCTGGGATGCTTTTAGTCTTTTACATTTTGAAGTATAAGAATAAAAACAAATTTGAGTTTTTGGTAATCTAACTAAGAACAATGTAGATGAAGCATCAGTCGGAAGGGATGGGGGTTAAACACAATTCCTGTTCCTATTTTATACCCAGCTATGGCAATATTCATGGTAGCTGCCTAGAAAATATCTGATTAGGTTTTTAATGGACACTGCATTAGTTAAAGTTTGTCCATGGTAAAACTCATCAGGTCTTCCCCTAATTCACAAATTTGAACAATGCTTGCGAGCATGTTCCTGTGTGGCCCAATCACAATGTTTTTGTTTTGCTCTTGGAAGAGCTGAAGAGAGTCAGAACATGTTCAGACTACTAAAATCCTGATCCTGCAGTCCCTCTGCACCCAGCTTCCATTGGCTTTGATTGGAATGTGAAAGGAAATGGAGGCTTTGTGTACACAGAAAAAAAAGCTTTCTTGTGTATCGTCTCTGACTTTTTAAATATGCGAGAGCAGAAATAAGCAGCATGGCCTATAAGACTGAATCAGAAAATCTCATGTCAGATATTTTTAGCATCAGAAATGGAGCTGCAGCACCATTTGAGCATGGATAAAGGCTTATTAAGCTAGGCTGCAGATCTTAGAGAGAATGTGTAGGCCAACAAGAGGTAAAATCAAAACCCCCATGCTCATTAAAAGCACCAATTTCAAGTTGTTTTTAAGGAACAAAGCTGTAAATTAGCAAACCTGGTTGGCTGTGGCTGTTGCAGCGAAGGGAACACTTGTGGCAGATGTTGTTGCTGCAGACACAGTGGCTGGCGTAGCACCGTGCACCATGGGAACTTTCGGAAGGAAAATCATATAAAGCAAACATACAGAAGAGTGTAGCAGTATGGGAACCATGGCAACATGTGGTAGAATAATTGAGCATGGTATTTATCACAGCAAGAAGCCATGTGACGAGACATCATTGCCAGCGAGTGACATGCAATCACAGTGCAAAAGCAGGACAACATTCCAGGGGCGGGGTGGGGAGGGAAATGAAAGAGAAAAAAGGGGAAAATGCTTGTTACCATCAAATCAAGAAAATCAATACAAACAAGCTTACCCATTTCAATACAAAGTCAAAACAAGAATTTTAAAATGCCCTTACATTTATGACTTACAGCTGAATAAAAAGTAAAAAAATCCACCCCAAGTATTTAATACAAGCTACAATTAATCAGTTTAAAGAAAAACATATTGCTTAAATACAATAGTAAGATACAATATGTTACTTAACATGAGATAGTTTCTGAACACTGGAACTCATAGTCCAATCAAAATCCACCAAGCAATTCAGAAAGCTACTATACATAGTAAACAACATCTATGTGTCCGTGTCAATTAAATAAAATGATTGCATTTAATTGACAGGTGTTAGTGCAGGGAGTTGGGGAAGATGGACTGGCACAACAACTATCAGTTAAAACCTAGCAGTGGATTTTGAGGGTCCGTGAGCTGCACCACAGGTTTAAGATAATCAAGAAACAAAGCTGGCACCTACCAACACTTGTAGCGGGTGTCATGCACAATATTGAGCCTGCCCATCATGCATTGCAACAGGAAGGTGGATTTGAAAAGGGAAAAGAATTAAAACAACCCATCACACGTGTAATTAGCAAATTTCATTGAACAAAGAAGAAAAGTTGTTATTATGGGAACAGTGGCATGTAACTGTCAGCACAATCAAATCATACGATAGCACAGTGATCAATTAGAACTAGTCTTAAGTGAGGGGAAGAAAGCTAAGTGAACTGTGTGCTGGTATAGTTAGCTTGCCTTTACTTTTCTCTAGCATAATTTGTCTTTTTACTATTATTAGGAAAGCTTTCCTTAGACTTATTTTAAAATTCTGGTTTATGTGACTGATTTATTTTTCCTTTCTGCAAAAGAACTTTTTTTTAGCTATATGTGTATTTTCAGAGTAAAGGAAGTACTTTAATGTATTGTCTCCATACAAGAAATTCATTTTTAGAAATTCAGGATGATCCTAGCACTGCAGTTATATTGGGATATACAGGATAGTTAAGAACAAAAGGGAGGAATTAGTTTAGCCCTTGCTCTCTGATCTGCATCCAGAAGGGGTCCTCAGCACACAGTTTGCCCTGAGTTTGCTCTAAGAGTCAGTTAGCATATTAAAAGAGAAAGTGGAGACTGCAGTTTGAAAATGGGACCAGACGCAAAGGACCCTTAGTTCTTCTCTGAGTCTGGCCATAATGTAATATAGCCCGAGGGTGTGCTCTTGTTTTTTTTCCCCAAGGGTCTCAGGAGTACTTGTGGCCCAAGGAAGTAGTCCGCCAGTGGCCATAGTGGCACTCGTGCCTTTAACCCCTGAAGACCCACCAGGTTCCTGGCAGGCCAATTCTTTGATGGTGGGGGAGGGAAGGATTTCTTGGGTAAATTTGGATCCTTTGGGATATTTCTCCCCATGACCATGTCAGGTGGATTTTTCTGTGGGGAGAGGTGATCTGACTGTTCACGGCTAGTTCTAGGTCTTTACTACCACCAATCCCTGTTGCTCCCAGGTGTTTTGGTATTGCCTAAGTGTCAGGACAAGCAGAGATTTTGTGACCAGCATTTATATATTGTGGGGTGAACTGAAAATGAAGTGCTGACTTTCAACTCAGATTTTTGGCAGGTTTGTTTACTTATTGTGAAATTTAAAGAGAGTATAACAACTATAGACCTTCCATAAAGTCCCCAGAAAAATGTGAGGCTGCCTGATTGCCATTATTTCTTCCTGTAGGATACACTTTAACTGCCTGTAATTTGTTGGAAGGATGAACCCTTTGGCTGAGATAGAATGTCAGCAGTACTTAGATGACTAGCCTGTCACTCTCCTTAATACAAATAAGACTGTAATTTCTAGGCATTCTAGGCATTCTATCTCAGCCTTTGGCTGAGATAGAATGTCAGCAGTACTTAGATGACTAGCCTGTCACTCTCCTTAATACAAATAAGAATACTAGGGATCAAATCAGATGAAATCTTCAAAGAGAACACAGTGCCAATAGGAGTACTTCATTTTTAGGCGCGCGCAGTTTCCAGTCTGCAAATTTCAGTAACTGGGCAATCCCACTTATTTACTTAGCAAAATGCTTTTGTTCCACATTGTGAATTTTGTACTTGCCAATCTTTTGTTTCCTAAAGGAAGATTTTAAAATTAAACTTTAGTTTATAAAGTCATTTTTTTCATATTTCATCACATCAATGTTTTTAAAAAGACTTTCTTTTATTTTTTCATGACTCGCCTTATTTACAGTCAGATACATTTAGATACAATTTAGATAAATTTTATCTAAATTAATTTAAATAAATGTGATTGTTACCCTGATATGAATAAAAATAAATGAATCATGAAGTGTTGAACAGAGAGCTCATAATGGAGGTAGACACAGAAATTCTCTGAAAGACAGAGTCAGTGGGAGCTACTGCTATGCTGTTTCCTTGATGCAATATGGCAATAACAAAGAGAAACTGTTGTGTTTGAATAGCATGGCATGTTATTTTATTAGCTCTTGTTAAGTGGTATACAGAATTGTATGTCATGTTACAGTGATTTTCACAATCCCAAATGCCATTAGTGGGAAAAAAATCAGTAATTTATGCTAGGCAGGACATGGAAGTTATTGCCTTTCGCTATAAGAAGACATGTTTAAAGCTGTGGGGAAAAATGGAATAATTAATTCTGCTATGTAACAAAACAGAATGAAAATATTCATGAAGGATGGTTTAAAGGAAGGATATTTAATATTATGGCCACATCCTTCTTGTGTCATCACCTGAAGACAGTGGGACTAGTTGTGAGAATATATGCATACGTGGAGCAAAAACTGGCCCCAAGGTACAAACTATCGGCTAACCAGTGTGACAGTGCTCTGAGTTACAGCCATGCAACCTCAATGATGTCACTGAGATGGCAGAGATGTGGCTAGAGCACACTGTGCCCTCATATAGCTTCCCTATTTATTATGTTTTTACATAGTTTATTGTACCTACATGCCAAAATGACAGCTAGGTTTTTGTAATGACTCTCTGAACTATCAAGATTGAGTTAGCTTAAATTTTAGTTTTGCATTATCTCCATTAACATTATAACCAGTACACACAGTTTGAAAGGGAATTGCAGCAAATGAACAGAAGGCAGCAATGAAAATACTAGCTATGGTGCAATAACTTGTGAATATGAATACATAATGCTGTAGGACCCTCTTACCAATAATAAATAATCATTTCTCTATGTCCTTAATATTCATTTTGACTTCAAGTGCTTTAATTAACTAATAAGACTGTCCAAACAGTGAACTTCCTTATTCAGACATTCCTTAGCCTTTCAGCATTTAATTTAAAGCATGTGCTATTTTAATTGATTGTAATTTCATAACAAAATTAATTCCATTGCAGAATATGGTAATTTTGATGAATACTATGTTTGCACTGGAATGTTAAACAGCTCCTTGTCCTCAACATTTATATATCTACTAGTCTTGCTGTGCTATTTCACCCAGGTATTTATTCAATTAAATCCACAAAGCACTACAGCGACCAGGTTATCAATAGATAACATGAGTGAGTGCTTCAATCTGAGGGCCTTGTTTTACATTACACTGTGAGCTGCTCAAATGTTGATCAGTGCTAATGCTAGCTTGAGTTTGGAGCAGTCAGCACGTTCAGACCAGCAAGGGCCTGGAGGACTGAAAGGTAAGAATCCTTGCCCCCCAACCCAAACCAGGCTCCCTGATGTCCCTGCTGCCCCAGGGGGTACCCTGTCCCTCCCTTGTCCCAGGGCCCCACCTTCTGCCCTCCTCCCTCACTTATCCCTGTCCCAGGGATACAGGCAGGTAAGGGCTGACCTGCCTTCCTGGTGCCCACCACCACCTGAGCCTGGACCAGAGTGCACTGAGCCTGGGCCAGAGAGCAGCAGCAGTGGTGGTGGTGGGAGCAGTGGCTGGGCAGGCAGGTTAATACTTCCTTGCCTGCACCTCTGGGACAGACAATGCAGGCAGCCAGAAGTAAGTGGGGGGCTGGGGGTATGGGGGTTAGTGAGCAGGGCTCTGGGGTGCTGGGGGCTAGGGTAGTAGGCCTGATCTGGGCCGGGGGGAGGGTGGGGGGTGGTGTTCACACTAACATGAAGGCTAGAGTGACCACATATTAATGTGACATGAGCTGGGTAACACAGATCAGAGAGAAACATAGGATGAAGTGGCATAACTCTAAATTGCCTAAGGAGTGTGTAAAACTAGCATCAGGTGTTAATGTGTGGACAATCCAGGGGTTAAGTGCTCTAGGAGCCACCTAAAATTAACATGCAACAAGGCCCTGAATGAACCATTTGATCCTTTTCCCACTGATGTTTTGTGCAGGAGTAAAAATGGTCCCCAAAGCACTTTCTCCTACTGAGGAAAGTGCAACATTTTCAAGGTGTTTAGATGTCTAATGAAGCTCATGGACACTTGTGGGATTTCACTGGAAGTTATATGGCTGAGCACTTCTGAAAACCTGCTGGGTATCTATCTGCATCTTTAGATACCTAAATACCTTTTCAAATCTGAATTTTTCTTCAATCAGGGTCCTAAATTAACACTTTATATACTGAATTAAGATCATGTTCACATGTCTAACTGAACTCCTAACTGAAATGATAAGAAGATACCCCTTTAAGCACAAAGGCAAGATCTACAAAATGATTTGGGTCTCCCAATGCTCAGTGTAGCAATACCTAACTTTTAGATGCTTGGTCACCATTGAAGAGTCCACAGTCCCAGTCAATGTATGTGGAGAGCGAGATGCTTAAGAAATGGATCAACTAAGTCAATAGGCAATACTGAGGATAGGGTAAATCTTATACTCTGCCTAGCTTTGGTACTCAGGTACTCTTATACTCAGGCCTACAGAAAGGTAGACTTGACTGCTCTCCAGCATTTATATGTTTTTGTCATTTCTTTTAAGCAGTAAATGTAATTTTTCTCCGCTATAACAGGACTGAAGGAGAAGGAAAGTCCTTGTTTATTCGGTGATTAAAGTATTCACACTGGATGCGGGGAGGAGCGGGTCCAACTTCAACTCTTAACTTCTAATGAAAAAAATCAAATCAAGCTATCTGCCACACTAAACTATAAGCTATTTTGGGTTTTGGGTAGGGGCACTAAATCCCCTTCACTGATGCTATTCCACTTTACATAGTATAACCAGAGATTCAATAGAGAGGTAATTAGTAGGGCTATGCGAAGCTTTGGGTGCTGATTTGATTTGGAGGAGATTTGGCCCAATTTGGCAGCTGAATCTCCAAATCCAAATCAAATCGGGAGACCAAATAAAAGGTGCGAATCAATTCGAAGCTTTCTGAATTGATCTGGAAAAGATTCAGAGAGCTTCGGAGATTCAAGCAGTCTCCACTGGCTACTGCAGGGAGCTGGACCTGGACTTCATGCTGGTAAGTGGAAGTAGGGGAAAGGGGGGCTGGAGGAAGGGGAGGGGACCATGGGGCCCCCTTCCAGGCCCCATCCCCTGCCTGCCTCCCCAGTCCCACTGAGTGCCCTCTGACCCCT